TAAAAAGACACAGAGAAGTCCTCGTTTGGCTGGACTACAGTTTTAAAAATCAGAACCTTTCTGGACGTGTGGGTTGTTTCTTGTCTTTCCCATTACAAACAAGGCTGCACTGGCCATCTTCAGAGCCTCTTCATTTCACACAGTACACACATATCCCTGCAGAGGAGATTCTTAGAAGTGAAATGAACAGGTCAAAGGGCATGAGCTTTAACAATTCTGACAGTTCCTGCCAAATTGCACAGATTACATTCGCTTGGTAAAGAACGAGAGAAGCTGTTTACCTGTGGGACTTAAGAATACACAGGAGCCCTGACCTCACCTCAGAATCTCTAGGTGGGAGGCCTGAGCACCTATATCGTGAGCCCCAAAAAGAGATTCTGAGCCAGAGATTCCCTTGAATTGAGTTCCCTCAGCCTCTAGCCTCTCCCTTCTTCCAGGAATTTGCCCCAAGGTGAGGTAGACAGGGCCATTGCCCTCCAGGACTGACAGGCCCCAGCTGACCCCAGGCTTCCTGAGCTGGGCAGGATGCTGGGGAGCCACAGACTGTCCATGATGCTGCCAGGGGCTCAGGATCCTGGGGTCACAGGGTCCTGGGGCTCACAGCCCTTCTGGCCCCCTGAAGCCTTCTCCTCTAGGGCAACGGTAGGAAACGGTTTTTCCGCTTCCATCCAGGTGCCACCCCCTGTTAGGGACTAGAGCACAGGCCATGCCAGCATTATAACCATGTGGGCATTGTGTGGAGAAGCCCTGCAATAAAACAGGGAAAAATGGAAATATTAGGAGTGGTGAGATATTGAGTGATTTTTTAAAAAATGTGTAGTATTTTTACAATGTTGGCATTAAAGACTAAAAATAAAAGTGCCATTTCCAATAACCCACTTATCTACCCATGGCCCTCTGATGTACCATTTGTGTGTACTTGTTCTCTGTGACACAGGGGGGCATGGCAGGGTTTGTTCTGCCAGTTCTGGTAGGGGTCTAGAGCTGGGAGGGGCCCACATGGTAGCTGTAAGCATGCCTACCCTCTACTGTTTTGGGCGAAGCCCTCAGGATGCATGAACAGACCAGCTCCCTGTCTGGAACAGAATAGCAGATGTTCCTGTCACACTGGGTGGTAGAATCACCTTTATTCTGCAAGTGAGGGTGGTGGTCAACTCTGCCGATGGGTGGAACCTCTGAGGCATAGGCCAGACTCACCTTGGGGCCTGACACTCAGTGAGTATTTAAGAAATATTTGAGAAGAAGCAAGGAAGGGGGACGCCTGGGTGGCTCAGTTGGTTAAGTGACTGCCTTCGGCTCGGGTCATGATTCCCTCTCCCTCTGCCTGCCACTCTGCCTACTTGTGCTCTCTCTCTCTGTGTCAAATAAATAAAATCTTTAAAAAAAAAAAGAAGAAGAAGAAGCAAGGAAGAAAGGGGGAAAGGTCCCCAGGTGGTATAATTTTTTTTTAAAGATTTTACTTTTTTTTAAATTTTTTTTAAGATTTTATTTATTTATTTGACAGAGAGAGACACAGCAAGAGAGGGAACACAAGCAGGGGGAGTGGGAGAGGGAGAAGCAGGCTTCCCGCTGAGCAGGGAGCCCGATGCGGGGCTCGATCCCAGGACCCTGGGATCATGACCTGAGCCGAAGGCAGACGCTTAACAACTGAGCCACCCAGGCGCCCCAGATTTTACTTATTTATCTGAGAGAGAGAGAGAGAGAGAGAGCACCAGCAGGGGGTGGGGCAGAGGGAGAGGGAGAAGCAGATTCCCCACTGGGCAAGGACTCCAACAACATGAGGCTCCATCCCAGGACCCTGGGATCATGACCTGAGCTGAAGGCAGATGCTTACCTGACTGAGCCACTCAGGCACTCCTGATTTTTTGTTAAGAGAGAGGTTCAGCAATGTGCAGAGGGAAAGGGAAAGAGGGAATCCTAAGCAGGCTCCATGCCTACATGGAGCTCGATCTCATGACCTGAGCTGAAATCAAGAGTCGGATATTTAACTGACTGAGCCACCCAGGCGCCCCTCCATATAATCTTAAGAACTCTGAGTACTTGGCCCACAAATGCTCCTTGCCACCCACCATGGAGCCTGACATTCTCACTGTCAGTGATCCTTCCAGCTACACAGATCTGTACCCTGTCCAAAACAGGCATCAATCATTTATTCATTCAACAAATATTTTTGTGCCAGCTCTAGGTGGTGAGAATATAGCCATGAGACCAACAGTCAAAAATCATACCCTCATGAAGTTTAAATTTTAGGGGAGGGGAGAAACAATAAAGAAATAAGGCATGTATTAGATATTTGTATTTATAGTATACATTTTGTAGTATGTAAGATGGTGATAATTGCTGGAGAGGGTGGTGAAGCAGGGAAGAGAGACAGGGAGTGAGAAGGGCACGTAACCATTTTAGAGAGGGCGACCAGGGCGACCTCACTGAGAAAGTGGCAGCTGAGTAAAGACCTGAAGGAGAAAGGAAGCAGGCCATGCAGATATGTGGGGGAAGAGTGTTCAAAGAAGAAGGAACAGCAAGTGCAAAGGCCCTGACGTAGGGCCTTTGATTTCCTACATTAGTTTTCTCTCTTGATCTGGATCACAGGTAGCATGAAAGTAGGAATGGTGCTTTTTAAGTCTTTAGAAATAGTTTTGATTACCAATTCCCTGTATACCCTTTTGTACTCTTGAATTTTACATCACTTGTAGGTATTACCTATTATAAAAAAAATATTTTAATTCAGGTCATGCCTCAGAAGGAGGATACACAGCACTGAGTTGGACACATAGTGGTGTTCAGTAGTTATTTGCTGTTTGAATACTTGATAGTGACAGGTATAAAACATCAGGGTCTGTTTTGTCTTTTACAGATTACCAAATCCACAGCTTTCCGTAGAGGCTGTTCCTTACCTCGTCATCCTTACGACCATCCAGGGCCATTTGTTCCTTTTTAGTCCAGTTGTAACTGTAGAATTCCCGCCACAAGATCGACCTTGGGTGTTCAGTTATGTGAGATGACCCCACTAGTCAGCTTTGTCATTAGATTCCACCCAGCCCCTGGAGGCTCCTCGGCTAGAAGAGAATTTGCACCTTTTTAGGGAAATACTTGTGAGGTATTTAAAAACCCCAGGGAAAATGTCAACAGTGGCACCTGAAGTGTGGGCAACGAACATGCATCACGGAACAAGAAAGAGTCAACAGAATGCAGTCCTTTTGTGAGTTGACTCCCTTGGGGCATCTCTTTGCCCTCCCATTCAGCTGTGGGCCCACAGATGCTCGCAGGAGAATCCACAACACTTGGCCAGCCCTTCAGAAAATAGTTTTGTTTCCTGACCAGCTGAGGAGCACATTGTATGGCATATCCAATTTCATAGCTATGGACAAATTGTAGGCAAGAGAGGAAAACAATGGTAAGCAATCAAAAATAATTATTATTTCAGCTATTTGCTGAAATATTTGTGTTTGCGGTAGGTTCCTGTTCATTTTTACAAGGTCTGATCAATGTAGGTGATGAGGTCTCTTTTTTGCAGAGTCCAGGGGCAAGGGGCACCCACCACCTGGACATCTGCTTAGAAAGGAGGCAGCCAGGAGAAGAGGGAGCCTGAGGCAGGGAGGGAGGGCCAGCCAGGAATTAGAAACTAAAAGAGTTTTCTTTTGTGCCAGAAAACAGTACAAAGGTTGTTTGCAGCAGATGGGTAAGTTTGTCACCAAGCGAGGGGAAGAGAAGTGTTAGTGTGGCTAACCCTGTCACCTGGCAGAGAGTGGGGAAGGGCAGTTGGAGGTATCTGTCTATAGGCTGTAAAGATAAATTTGGTAGGAAATTGCTGGTCCCACCTCTGCTCAGAGGGGAGCATCTTAAAACGCATGCTGTGCAGTTGCCATTGCGTTGGGTCCAGGGCTCAAGAGAAGGTGAGCTCATATTTTTCAAAACTTGTCTTAGAACAATAATTGATGTACATCATGATTTTAGGCACAGCAAGCCCTGAGTAAAGGTTTGTGGTTGAAATTCTACATGGACCCAGAATACGCATTTAAAAATCCCCCACCAGCAGCACCACCCGTATTATCTGATATTATGTCCAAGGCCTGCATAGAACAAACCTCTGGGATGTTTCGTTCGCTGTCTCCCTCCCCCTCCACCTGCTCTGGAGCCTTCTGTAGGCCTTCAGTCACTCCTCTGCTCTTTTTTCCCTGCCTGTCTCCTGCCTTCCCCTGGAGCTTGGGTATCCTAAGGCATCATCTCAACCAAACTCATGATAAGGGGAGGCTAATTTTCTCTCTGTTGTCATGTTGATCAAGAGTTCTATTTTTATAGGTAAAACCAATATTACCTGGACTGTGGGCTAAAGGTGAGGTTAGCCAGCCTTGCTAGTTCATCACAAACCAGATGGTCAGGGCTACCTTAATTGCGGGCATAGGACCAAAGGGAATTAAGTCCCGCAAACAATCTATAGCTGTTAAGTGGAAAATGTCACTATGACCTTTTTTCAGTGCTTTTTAAAAACTCATTCTTCTTTTTGTTTTTTTAAAAATCTTTCGTGTGTGTGTGTGTGTGTGTGTGTGTGTTTGATTAGGCAATAGCCACACAGCGAAGTTTTTAAAGTTTAAAAGGTGAAAACTCTCCCTGATTAACTCCATCCTCAAAGGCAACCAACATGCCAAAGTCTGGTGCATCCTGCACACACGTCTTACATGTCTACATGCACACACAAAGTAGCCCACACAATAATTTCTCTTTCCTCAATACTTAGCTGTTGATTTTCATCTGCCCTTCTGTTGCGCCATCTATCACATCACTCTCCAGTCACATCCTTTGAGTCACCTTCCATATAAAAATATCTTAATAAGGATTGGAGCTTTTGCTGGAGAATAAGTGAGCACTTTATGTGACTGGGGCTTTGAAGCACGTTGGTGTCACACTGCTGCTAATTGAAACCACATCTTGAACGAGGTCCCTTAAGGTCATAAAGCAGGGACTCCAAAAAATGATCTGTGGCATGTTTTCTCTTGTTCCAGAAACTAGAATGAACCGAAGCATTCCTGTGGAGGTTGATGAATCAGAACCATACCCAAGTCAGTTACTGAAACCAAGCCCAGACTATTCCCTGGAAGAGGGATCAGAACCACCTGCTCCAAATCTAGGGAACATGGCTCCCAACAGCTTGTCTGTGCCCAGAACCCCTCACTGTTCCTCAGGAGAATTTTCTCAGGCTCAGCCACCCCTGAAACTTTCAAATCACCTACGGCCTGTGTCCCAGCAGGTCACCTGCCTGCGCACTAAAATCCTGGAGGAGAGCGAAGACAGCTTCTGGAGGAGACACCCAGACCCGGGCAAAGATTTTCCCTTGGGATCCTCCGCAGCCAGCGAGCATGAGCCTGAGTCTGTGGTTGGAGGCCTCCCTCCGGAGCATCAGTTTTCATTTATGGAAAAACGGAATCAATGGCTAGGATCTCAGCTTTCAGCAACTTCTCCTGACACTGGCCATGACTCAAACAAATCAGACCAAAGTTTACCTAATGCCTCAGCAGACTCCTCGGGCAGTAGCCAAGAGACGGTGCAACAGCCCTGGCCCCACAGGAACCGAGCAGCTCCAGATCTGCCTACCGTAGACACGGGGTATGATTCCCAGCCCCAGGATGTCCTGGGCATCAGGCAACTGGAAAGGCCCCTGCCCCTCACCTCCGTGTGTTACCCCCAGGACCTCCCCAGACCACTCAGGTCCAGGGAGTTCCCTCAGTTTGAACCTCAGAGGTACCCAGCGTGTGCACAGATGCTGCCTCCCAACCCTCCCCCACATGCTCAGTGGAACTGTCATTACCATTGTGCTGGAGGCCCCTATCACCAGGTGCCATGTAAGTGAACTTTACCTCCTCTGGACATTCTGGGCTGGGTAACTAAGTACACAAGGGCCTCGTGTCCGTGCCTCGCTTCACCAGACCAGCACAGACTGGTCAGAATGCAGGGAGGGCATTCTGCTTCCTAGTATAGGGGCTCTCCGTGTGTGGTTGGATTTGCCAGGAGCTCTAGAAGAATGCTGCATCTTAGCCCAAGCCGGTTCCACTTGGAACCTACTTCTCTATAAAGCTTTAAGGAGAAAACAGTTTCCTCTGTCTCGGTTAGTTTAACTGAAACCTGCCTACAGACAGGGATATGACCCAAATGATTTCTAGAGTATACTTTTGTTGACTTAATTCTTGGGCATCTAGGTTCTTCCTTCTCTGCATGCTTCTTGCCCATCTTAGATTTGGCAAAGAAAGGGGGCCTTCAGTCTAAAATCCCGGAATGGTCTTGAAAACTCTGGAATCAGGCCATTCCCCGAAGATTGAGTTGCTCTTGTGATGCTGTTGCTTAAACTCTTTTGGGGACTTGAGCCGCCGCCTCTACTGTACGCTCTGGCCACCCTCGAGGACCGCAGTCCTCCGAACCTGGCTAACTGCTTCACACTTGCAAGTGCTTGCCCTTGCTCTTCTCTCTCCGGGATGTTGTTCCCCTCCTTGAACGTTTTAACCCAGCTCTGTACCTCTTTTGTTAACAGCTTTATTGCGATCTAATTTACATACGTTAAGGTTCACCTTTTACCATTTAGGTGCACAAGTCAATGAATCGTAGTGTTTGCAGACTTATACAGCCATCACCATATACACCTTGTAAGACTTAGCTCAAGGGTCCCTCTGGAAAGTTCCTCAGATCTATCCTTCCTTCAGGCTCTCAGCTTCCTTGTGCTCTGCCAGTCAGAACACCTAGTATCAGTATGGCATCTACTCATGGATTTGTCTACCTCTCTCTCCATATCAGCAAAGGTATATCATTTTTTAATTAATTAATTTTATTTATTTATTTGAGAGAGCATGTGTGCATGAAGTTGGGGGGTGTGGAGGGAGAGGGAGAGAGAGAATCTTAAGCAGGATCCACACCCAGTATGGAGCCGAGGTGGGGCTTGATCTCATGACTCATGAGATCATGACCTGAGCCAAATTCAAGAGTCAGGTGCTTAACTGACTGAGCCACCCAGGTATCCCAGCAAAGGTATATTTTTAATCCATAACTCTCCAGCATTTAGCACAGTGACCAGCATATACTAGACTCTCAATAAATTATTTCTGAATCAGTGGCTAGGTGAATAATGTGTATCAGTGCAATAAGCATTTCTGAAAGTGATAAAGTCTTAGATTGAGATAAAAGTCCTTTACAATTCTTTTTTTTTTTTTTTAAAGATTTTGTTTATTTATTTGACAGAGAGAGAGACACAGCGAGAGAGAACACGAGCAGGGGGAGTGGGAGAGGAAGAAGCAGGCTTCCTGCAGAGCAGGGAGCCCGATGCGGGGCCGATCCCAGGACCCTGGGATCATGACCTGAGCCGAAGGCAGACGCTTAACAACTGAGCCACCCAGGCGCCACCGGTCCTTTACCATTCTTGATGTTCAGTCTCAGCTGAGGCTGCTGGGAAATAACAGGGCTTTGAGATATGATATTTTTCTTAGCAAATAAATGCTGTACAAAAAGCAGTTCAAATGGTCAGACCAAAGCATCTGACCAAAGGCCTGATGCCTAGCTTTAAAATAAATTCTAGAAATAACCAAAAATGTTGTAACCGATCATAATTTATGTATTTGTACATGTACACCTCGTATAAAGCTTCCTAAAGTGAATGGAGAAACAGTTTAATTCCTAATTTTTTTAAAAAAAAGGAGGGAGAGGAATTTTTGTCCCAATATACAAAAGCTTACGTTCTGCGGGGAAAGGTAGACAAGTCCACGAGTAGATGCCATACTGACATTAGGTGTTCTGACAGGCAGAGCCCAAGGGAACAGAGCCTGAAGGAGGCATTGATCTGGGCAGGTTTCCAGAAGGACACTTGAGCTAAGTCGTGGAGGAACTTAGAAGATGTTTGGAAGAAAAATGTAGCAACGATTGTGAGGTTAAGAGTGAGGCCAGGAGTGGTGGAAACAGCAAGGCTTGGGGAGAGAGAGCCTCGGAGGCCTAAACCTGGGACCTTGAGTTTTGGAGGTTGGGAAGTCACGGATTGGGGTTGTGGACACTGCTGCCTGCTCAAAGTGCCCAGTAATAGGATGGGTGTGGCGGCAGAGTTCCTTAAGTATGAATCACTGAGGAGTGAACCTTGGCAGCCTCAGGGCTGCATTTATTTCTCAATGATTTCCAGGTTAGAAGGGAATAATTCTGTGAGGATAATACCATCAACTATTTTTTTAACATTCTACTATCTGCGTTTAGAGATAATTTTTCTGATCATAATGGCAATATATGTTTGCTCGCAAAATTGAAATATGCCTAAAAGTCCGATTCATATTTCCATCTCCTATTTATCATTCCTTATTGGGGTTTTGACTTATATATATATATATATATATTTTTTTTTTATGTAAAGTTAAAATAATTCCCAGTGACATTCGGTGCACTTCTTCCGGCATCATTTAAAAACGCTGTATAGTATTTAATCGGATGGATCTACCAAATTGCTTTTAAGCTGTTCTCTGTTATTGGACAATGGAAAGAGTTTCCAGTTTCTGATCCACTAAGCAATGCGAGGATAAGCATCCTGTACGTAAGTTTTTATCTGCATTGCTGATGAATTCCTTAGATTAATCTGTACAAGTGTGAATACTTAGTAAGGGCTTTGTGATCCTAAGTTTCAGGCAGTTGCCTTTATCTGCTAACAGGAGAAAGCCTCATTGGGATAGACAAAGAAAGCATTAACTCAATATGATTTGAGGATCCCAGAAAGATCTTCCCACTTGCAAATATTTTTTTGTGTTGAAGCCTGAAATGACACCACAAGCAGTCCAGGCTTTGGAGGGGAGTGCAAATTACCCCCTCTGGGCAGACTCTTTTAAAATGCAAACACCCCTGACTGGGGACTCTTTTAGTCTCTAATACCAGCTGATGAGATTTCTCTCATCAGCTGTCTTGCCTTCCCTCAGTACACTATTTCCCTCCACTGAAGCGGGGAGGAGAAGGCCGCTGGGGGTCCTGGGAGGGAGGAGAGGTGATGAAAGGCAGAGGAGAGAATTTGGACAGGAGAAGGGGCTAATTCACAGAAGACATACAAACAGTAAGCATATGAAACCAAGCTTAACGTTACTAAATTTAAGAAACATGTGTGTGTGTATATATATAGCAAAAAATTTTAAGCTACCCTTTTCCTAATTAGGTGTGCAAAAAGGAAAAAATCCTCAGCTGACACCCATTGTTATGGGGTTATGGGGAAATGAACACTCCCGCCTGCTCTTGGCAGGAGTGGCAACTGGTACAATCTTCTGGAAGGCAATCCCACTATTTATCAAGATTTTAAATGTGCTTCCTTGGCCCAGCAGTCGCACTTGCAGGATCTGTCCCACAGAAACACTAAACAAGCCTATAAAAACACATGAACAAGGATGTTTAGGAAAGCATCGTTGTAGTGGAGTAAAAAGGAAAACAATTCAGATGCCACTCAGTAAGGGGACAGATAAGGAAGTGGTGGTTTATTTATACAGTGGACTACGAGGCCACTGTTACATAGAACAAAATACACATTTTGACATAAAAAAGATTAGGTGGATAAGCGAGATGCAGTGCTGATTCCATATGTGTTATTTTTAAAAGCTGTATGTAGTTAAAACCCAGACATTGAAAAGTCTGGAAGGATTGTCCTAACTGTTGCCAGTGATCACGGCGTCGGGAGTGGAGGGGGCAGGGAATTCAGAAGAGACAGAGGGACTTTTCCTTCTAACTTTATATACTTAAATTTGTTCCAGCAAACAGGTATTATTTTTATAATTAAAAATAAGTAAACGCTGAAGAAAGAAGAATACGGGGAAATGGGAGCGTAGGGCAGCCTCATCCCCGGTGCCTCTCTTTGCCCTGGCCCTGGCTCCCAAAAGCATCTAATTGCGGGGAGGGGGGAGGGTCAGGGTTGGGCTGGCTTTGTCTGGGAAGCCCAGGGCTGAAGTTTTTCCTCAGGGCACTGCAAGCCGGGAAGCTTTATGAGGCCTCTGGCCACAGTGGCTCCCAGGAAGGTCACTCTGAAGATTAAATGAGATAATATACTGAAGGTGCTGGGAATGGAAGCCCTCCCCAACTGGCAGTTCTTAGTTATTATTGTTATTACTTACATGGGTCCTGCAGCCCGGTCCCGTAGGGCGCCCCTCCCCTTCCAGATCCCTCTGGCTGGCACAGATTTTAAGCATTCAAAGCAGGTATACAAATGCTTAGTTTCATGTCAGGACCATAACTGCACTTAATTGCCAACAAAACCACTTCAAAAGAGCTGTTCACCTAAGGGATGCTCGTGTGCTTGGAAACCATGGCTACGTGGTTCTATACGTGGCTTTACAAGAGCATTACTTCCTCATCCGTTAATGAAAATATAAATAAATAATGATCGCCATGCAAATGGCATACCTTCGTCTTTGCAAGTTAAAGGAGGAATAAGTTACTTGTCACCGCTTTTATGTAAAAAAAAAAAGTTCAAAGCAGGTGAAAATGAGTAGAGAGTAAGTAGAAGTCGAATAAGCTCGTGTTTTCTCCCCTACCCCCAACCAGTCCCCCAGCGAAGCTGGCCTTTTACTATCTCAGAATCCTTCCACTGAAGGTCACCAGAATGGAGATCATGGCTGTGCAATCAAATAAAACCCATGATGCAAATCACTTGGAAAAAAAAAAGAATGTATGAAATCCAAAGAGCCTTTATTTTACTATTAAAATGTTCGCTTTCTCTACCAAGAAGACCAAATAAAATAAAACTGTGGGCATATGCCTACTATTACTCATAGAAACCCGAAAAAGTCATTATTTGTATGCTGGAGTGAGTGCATGCATAATTAAAAGTAAGGAAAAAATAACCCAGATGGAAGAAATGATAAAGAAAGGAGCTGCCTTTTCAGGAACCACAGCTGCTTACAGCTGTGGGTGTTCCGGTAACAGTTTATGTTGGCCATTTTGTTTCCTGGCCAAACTGATTGCGTTATATCATCATGCTTTTTGACAACTTGAAAATCAGATTTTATTTTCTCTCTCATACTTTTGTAATACCATGCTTAATAAGGAAGAAAAACGTTGAATGTTTTGACTGATAAGTGGAAAACTTTTTTAGGATTTGTTTTACAAATTCCAAGTGGTAAAAGGCTAGTAACATGAAGACCGTGTGTACCCAGGCCAAGAGGATCATAAGATTGATAAATAACATACAGTTCTGGGCACCCATTTACGAGTGTGCAAGATTTGTATTTTTGTTCTGTGATTAATCCTGCCTCAGAATTGAGGCGTTACCGTGCTCACAAATCACTTGTCTGTTCCATCATCCACCACCTTCTATCCTCCAGGCTCCTGCAGAATAAATTCTCTTGATGGAATTTTAGGCACTGAGGACAAGTCAGTGGGGGAGATATTTTGGGGCAGTAATTCTTAAGACTACCAAGTAGGTGACTGCCGACTTGCACGCCTCCCCTTCTCACATACTAACGAGTGTGGGTTTGTGTTTCAAAACAGACACCCACAGACACGCAGATTTTCTCTTTATCTATTTTGAGCTACTCAAAGAAACCGTATCCTATTTATCTATGTTCACTGCATGGCTAGCAACAGAGGTTCAACAAATATTTGTTGAATGAATAAGAAGAAGTTCTTTCTGTTCCCTGCCTCCTGGGGAAAGGAGTAATCCCCAATCATGAGTACAGCCTTTGTGATAGCAAGCCTTGGAAAGGCCATCTTTAATGGTCTTGTGGAAGTGGGGAGGGGAGGAAAGGAGGGAGGTCAATGGGACTTGGCAACGGAACTTGTCCATTCATTTATCAATTTATCCAACAAATATTTCCCCAGTCCTATGCTAGGCACTGGGCGTACAGTGATAAAACACTTGTGGTCCTGTCTCCATGGAGTTCAGTCTCCTAGAGAGCCAGACAGGAGAAATCAGCAAACAAAACAACAAGGTTTAAGTGCTATGCAGGAAGAAACTGGGTGTTAGACATTAGTAGGATGGCAAGAGGAGACCTCTTTAAAAGGACACAGCTGAGCTGAAATCTGAAGGATAAGAAAGTGAAGGAAGCAAGGAGCTCGGTGTAGTGAAGGCACCAAAAGCAAGCCAGGGGGCCTGGAGCAAGGTGAGCTACGCCAGAAGTTGAAGGCCGAAAGGACCAGGGTAGGAAATTGGATTTTATTCTAAGTTAAACTTCTTTAGGAAAACAGAAAATTGAACTCTATAATCCCAAATAAGAAACTTGGTACAGTATCTGGCATGTCGCGAGTGTTCAATAAATGGAAGCCACGATTCTATAGAGAGTACCCAACTAGACGAGCAAGGTTTGGTCAAAATCGTGGAACGGAATGATTAAAACGTGAGCAATGAAAAGATCCTCGTTTACCTGATAAACGTTTGCATTTAGCCAATTCTCCACACAACAAAATTTCACTCAAGAAAGGGAAAGCTTGTTTTTGATTGACCATCTGGTGTTCAATATTTCTTTGTTTTAACCAATCAAAGCCCAGCATAGAGGACTCTATTGTCAATTCTTAAAAATTGGTAAGGTGGATCATTTTCATCTGCTTGCGGAAACCGGCGTAGGTTTTTACCGCAGGTGGCCATTTCAGAAATGAAAGTTACAGCTAATCAAACCTTAGCCCACATGCCTTACTGATTTTAATGACACGATTTGTTGCTATGAGACAAAAACATGTTGTGCGGGAAATAATCTGTTAGAAATCACATGACCTTGATTCAAAGGCTTTTGATTAAGAGCACTAACGTCCGCTCTCTGGAAAAGAAACAAACCCCATGATTAGAGCCTGGTGGTCCTTTTAAAGCAAATAAAACCTTTATTAGCCACTCATTAATGGATATGGGAAGCAAAAATGGTTGCAAACATTAAAAACTTTCAAGGCCACTGGCAAAGTTTCTCCTCTTTTACCTTGTCTTTCTCCTTTCTACTTGTGGAGGGAGACACTGGAGAAAAAAGACCAAAGTGGACTGCAGATAAGTAGCCGGTCTCATGGCTTCTCTTTTTCTGGGTGTGGGAAGTTGGCTTTGAGAGCATGCAATCTCCGTTCACAGACCTTCGATGCTAGTAGGGAAGGCAGACCAAAAGTTGACAAGTAAGAGTCATGCTTACTCATACACATGATAAGCACTATGAAGAAAATAAAATCGGGGGGATAGATTAAGGCAACTGGGTGAGGGGGTGGGCCCTCTGAACAGGCTAGTGTGGGAGCTGAGGCCAGAACGACAAGAAGTTGGTCTGTAAAGATAGAGTGCGAGAACATGCTAGGCAGAGGATGGCCATCTCATGGTCCCAGAGTGAGGGACAAGCTTGGGGTGTTCAAGCAGAAAGATGACCAGGGTAGCTGGGGCTTGGTGAGCTTGGGAGAGCATACGAGGGGCTAAGGTCAAAGGCAGGGACCCAATCATGCAAGGAGGATTTTAAGTGCAAGGGGAGATCTCTGGAGGGTTGTAGCTGCAGCTGGTTTTGTAAATGGTCCACTCATACAAGCCTCCTCTAAAAGCAGGGCTGGCCCACGCCTGGGGACCTGATGGCCGTGGTACTTATTCCCTTTTCTAGGGAAAAGGAGCAATAGTAACAACCTGCCCTCTTGTCCTGAAATTCTTTTTTTTTTTTTAAGGTTTTTATTTATTTAACAGAGAGATAGAGCACAAGTAGGCAGAGCAGCAGACAGAGGGAGAGGGAGAAGCAGGCTTCCCGCTGAGCAGGGACCCCGATGCAGGGCTCGATTCCAGGACCCTGGGATCATGACCTGAGCCAAAGGCAGCCACTTAACCGACTGAGCCACCCAGGTGCCCCTGTCCTGAAATTCTACCTGGCCATTGGACCCCTTGGAATATATGCGACCTGCCCCGGAATGGCAGTAAGAGCAAAATCTGTGGGATATAGTCGTGCAGTCCTATGTCCCCACTCGTGGAGGTGCTCTCCAAGTCCTGGTCTCCTTTATCAGCCAGGGAGCTGAGATAGACCCAGGAACATCCCTTCACCCCCCCTCCCCTTCCCTAAGCCCCCAACATCAAGACCAGCCCTAAGCAGTTGCTGGGAGGCATAATGGGCAGGGCCAGGAGACAGCCTGGATTAGAGAGGTGATAGGAAGGACCTGGCTGGTGTCCTGTGTCAAAGCAGACAATAGCTTGAACCCGGTGAACCTGACCATGCTTGAGAGACTGGCTTGGCCACATTTCCAGGGTCACCCAGGCAAGTTGCCTGAGTCAGGCAGTGGAGACCTGGAGGCAGTGAAGATGCACATTATTTGTTTTCTGTCTACACTTGAGGCTATCGTTCCCCCTGAAAACATCCAGGGCTGCTGACTGCCAAACCAAGAATAAAATTCCCAGCCATGTTCTCACCCCCCCACATTCTGGTTCCAACCTACCTTGTCTGTGACTTGCTTGCTTGCTTGCTAGTTTTATTTTGCTCTACCTTCACAGCAAGCAAACATTATTATTATTATTTTTTAAGATTTTATTTATTTATTTGACAGAGAGAGACACAGTGAGAGAGGGAACACAAGCAGGGGGAGTGGGAGAGGGAGAAGCAGGCTTCCCGCTGAGCAGGGAGCCTGATGCGGGGCTCGATCCCAGAACCCTGGGATCACGACCTGAGCTGAAGGCAGACGCTTAACGACCGAGTCACCCAGGTGCCCCAGCGAACATTCTCTTCTTATTATTATTATTATCAGAAAAATAATAAAGACCAATACATGTTGTTTTGAAAAACAAGGTTCCTTCTTGTAACCAGCTCTGCCTCCTGATCACCCGGCTTCTTGGGCAGAGGTGGCGGATCGCGAGGAGGTACTCATGGTTTATTTTGCAGTTTTTCCACTCAGTTCTCTCCAACCCCTCTGTAGGCTAGACCCATCCCTAAGGCGCATCTGCACACTTACAGCTTAGATTTCCCACTTGAGCCCCTTGGGGCCTGGGCAGCTCCCTGAGGGGCTTCCTCTCTCCCCCTGCCTGGTTTCTCTGCATCCCTCCTCTGGCCTTCAGTTCTCTTCTTTCACCTGGTCAGGCAGGCTGTCCCTCTTCCCTGGGGACCCTGCTGCTCCTGGGCCTGGCTGGGACCCACTTTCTTGTAGGTTACATGTGCACATAAGTCATCAGCAGCCCTGTCTGTGCCCCGGGGCCTGCCCTTTTCTAACTGCCGTGGCCCCAAGTGCATGTTGGCTTTAACAAGAGAAGACCAAGAAAGTTGGGAGGTGTTGCCAACCGGTTAGCTACTTCCCAGAGGTATGAGCCAAGTTTCATCATTCATTTACTTCTTCCTAAGGGAATGGTATATGTGTGTGTGAGCATGTGTGAGCGTGTGTGTGTGTGTCTGTGTGTGTGTATGTGTGTGTTGTGTCCCCTTGGGGGGAAGGAAAGAAGAGAGTAGCGATTCTGTATCTATCATGGAGATAATTTCTCCTAGCCTTGGATTCTAGAAACTTGGAAAATTATGGTCAGAATGGTGGTGTGAGAGTTTTTCATGGTTGGATTATCCTAAGTATCTTAGTAAAACAGAGGCCTGTGTGGAGCTCTGTGCTTTCCAATTAGAACACCAAACTCGTGATTTCACAGATGTTTTTATTTAGGGAAAAATGACTCAATTTAATGAAAACAATCAAGTAAATAATAGTACAGAAATATGGCAAGCAATACAGAGGTGGTAACTGATATCTGAAACCCACAGTATGGAGACAAAAATTGGCAGTGAGCTTCTGCTTTCACACAAGGCCCTAGAGTCATTCTGCCCCGTTCATTTTGCTGTCTTCACCTACAGGTGGCCACGACCACCCTCGAGCAGCCTACCAGCAAGTGGTCCAGCCAGCTGTGTGCGGGCAGCCCGTCCCTGGAGCCAGCGTGAGGGGCCCGCACCCTGTGCAAAAGGTCGTCCTGAACTACCCCAGCCCCTGGAACCAAGACCAGAGGCCCGCACAAAGAGACTACTCCTCCCCAGGGCTCCCGAGGTATACTATGACAGGGCCAACTTTCAGACATTTTTTAGTGGGAAAAAGAATGATGCCAATGGGATCGAGATGTAACACAACTCTCTGTTGGTGTGCGACCCAGGCTAGTGACCGAGCCCCGCGGGGGAATAGACTCTTCAAGTCAGGAGGAAATGGCAGCTGGTGGACAAGAATCTCTTAACCAGATACATTAAAGTCGCTGGTGACTCGTCAAAATTCTCTTGAAGGAAAGGCTCTTAAGATGCCAAGGGACACGCACTCCTTTTACTCTCAAGTCACCTGGCCTTTTAGCCCAGAAATAGATTTTTGTTTTTACTGTGACTGACTTCCACCATTAGGAAATTCATGCTTATATCCCTAGTCTCTACACCTGTTTAAACCCATGTCTTACTTTGAAATTTTAAATTCAATTAGCTCTCAGTAGCAATTTTAAAAAGCCCATTGTTTTCTTTTGTAATATAAGCACCCACACATATGGAGCACCATTATTAGGTCTTTCTGATACTTCTTCCAGAAAACCATTTCTGGCTTTGCTTGACCAGACCAGTTGTCTAACCTTCAGTCATGTCTCCCCTCATTGTTCTCCTTTGCCTCTTCTTCACGTTTTCCTCTTCTCTTAATTTATGGATCTAAAATATACAGAGGAAGAACTCCTAGAAATGGAACTCCTTAATTTAAGACAAAATTGAAGAGTAGATGAAATGTTTGCTCTTGCTCAAGCACAATTTTTATATATCACTCAAAGTAAAATTACATTCTGTTTTGAGAATAGAACGAGATACAAAGGTCCTTTTAAAGCAGATTTTTCAGAAATGCAGAAGTTGGTAATTAGCTCAGAAAGTTCATTAAAAGAAGAAAAGCGCATTCTATTTACGATGGCAGATAAGGCACGTGCCTGCTTCCCCCTTTCCTCAAAAGCCCATACATTCTCAGATTTTCCTTTCTGACAGAGCCCTTATTTTTTGAGAACAAAATTACAGAGTTTGGGGTACCTGGCTGGCTCGGTCAGAGAATCATGCGACTCTTGATTTCAGGGTTGTGACTTCAAGCCCCATGTTGGGTGTAGAGTTTACTTAAATAAATAAACTTTAAAAAATGGCATGGAGTTTAAATAATGAAATCAGGAAAATGTGATTTTACAACCAGATAAGTACTCTTGCATAAGAAATATCTACAAGTCCAAGAAAAAAAACAAAACTTAAGCATCTTTATGGAAACATGTCCACTGGCATTGGATAGGGGAGGCAACGGTAATTTTTTAAATAAACATTTATTTCGAAATATTTTCAGATTTACAGAAGAATTGCGAAGTTAGTACAGAGGAATTGCTTTGGTAACATCAATTTAAGCCTGCTATGGTCTCCTTGGATTTATTTTATCATTTTAGGATAATGAAAAATAAGTTCAGGTAATGAAGCTAATCCTCCTCTTAGTGATAAATTTGAAAGCAAACCTTGACACAGAAACTTTACTCTGTCATTAATAGCCATGATATTGTTTTTACATGGAAGTTTTTTGACATTACCAAAGCTTTAACATTTTTTTTTTTAATCAAATGAGCAACTGTCTTCTATAACAACCAAGCAACTTTCGGTATAAAGGAATTTAATGCAAAAAGGATATGGAACTGGGTCCCCATTAGATGAGGGCATATTTTATAGGGATTTTTTTTCTATATATTAGTAAAAATGTAAAACAAAAATAATTTCCTCAAACATTCACACTTCAGAAATATAGTACACTTGAGATTCTGTGTAATTTTATTTTAAATCCCGTTGCATAAGACTTTCAAAATTTTTCTTACTCTTTTGGGTAAAAATATAAGCATATGCAATAATCTATAAAAACTGGGCAGATACACATCAATTTGGAAATCAAAACAGTTTTTAAATTTAGAATATAAAACAATCTCAAACCTACAATAAATAACAAATATCCAGGTTCCCACTCCCTAGATTTTTAAAATGTTAACATATTGCCACACGTCCTTCAGAGTTTTTTTTAAGAAATAAAACATTATAGACGCAGTGTTAGCCCCCCTATCAGTCAGGATTCAGTGACAGAAACCAGAAACAACTCTAGTTATTTTCAGTGGAAGGGATTTGACATAGAGGAGTGGGCGCTTACAGAATTGTTGGAGGCTGGAGGAGCAAGCTTTCGGCCAGGCTTCCAGGAAAGAGCCCAGAGCAGCACCACAGAACGGGACGCCGAAGAAGCTCCTTCCTCCAACACAGGGAGAGAGGCAGAAGATCAGAAAGTCGCCAGAGAACACTCCGTTTCAGGCCATGCTGCCATAGTACAATCCAGAATCAGGAAGCCACCACCGCTGCAACGATTGGACCCATTCTGCACCTGCTAGATCTGCACTGGCCCAAAATGGACGCCTCTGCCCTCACCTTGACACGGGAGGCTGGTAAGGGGACACTGGGATGCCTCCTGAGGAACTCAGCACCTCACGGCAGCACTTTTCGACAGAAACCGCAGAAGTGGCCGAAGCACGGTTTCCACTTCTTTCGGCTTTCCAAATCTCCCACAAGGGCATCTGGCGGTTCTCAGCACGATGTTCATGGGAATACCGGCAACCAAAAAAATAAGAAAGATGCCATAGAACAATGTGGTAGAAACTTCTCTAAACGGTCTTCAAAATCAGATTTTCATCCATATATTAGCAACAACATAAATACTTTAAACCTGCAAGGCCTTTTCTACCTTTTGATACATAATTAAATGTTATCTATCATGAGTTAAAAGTCCTGCCTTTTTATCTGAATGCCTATAACACCAACCCTGTATATCACCCATCATACTACTTTTATTGGTGACCATGTCTGCCTTGTACATACCACTTATCTTCCCAATTAGACAGTCCTTGAATGGAGAAATCGAATCAAGCTCCCTCTTTCGACCCCTAACATGGGTCCTTACATGTGGCAGCCAGCCGAATTACTTATTGACTCAAATTAAATGAAGCAACCCTCGTCCTTCTGGCCCAGGAAAGAAACGGAGGCAGAGGAGAGAGCTAGCTCACTGGTATCTCAAAGGCTTTCTGTCCCTCCGGGTTTGCCTTTGTACAAAATGAAAATTTGACTACAAATGTATTCTTTTCCAGGGACCAACAGTATAACCAGCCACCTCATCGAGCTGGAGTTCCTGAGGAGTCCTTGGAGTGTCCTGCAGAGTTGAGAGCCCTAGGTCCCCAGGCTCCATCCCCAGCTCCTGTCCCTAGACCCCTTAGTAACCTTCCAGCCAGAGGGACTCTGAAAACAAGCAATTTGCCGGAAGAGTTACGTAAGTTGTTTGCAATGTTGTTTTTCCTTCTTTTTGTCAGGTCTTATACTTTCAGAGTACTTGATGATTATTCACTCATAATCTTGGGAAATAAATTTTACTTCTTTACTCTTCACCAAAAAAAGTAACCAGCATTTTGTATGGATGTTTTCAGTGATTCTGACACTACCAGCAATCCTCACAAAATGCTTGCCACAAGATTTTCTTCAGCATATACTCCAATGACAACCCCAATGCTTCTCTCTTCTAAATGATGTTCATGAGTGGACTCGTCCCTGGGTTAACTGACTGGATGTCCATGTGGTATTGGCCAGGGACCTAGCGTTTCGCCATAAATTAGCCGCAGCCATCAAGAACGAGGTCATTTCCTGTAGGAGTGAGCAATCTTGTTTGGAAAAAGTGGTCTCACATTCTCCATACTGATTTACAACCAAATGCAAACTAAGCCTTTTATTTAAAGAAACATTCGACTAAGTGTCAGGTGATGATTCTTTTTCCATATTTTGCAGCCAGAACCAGAAATGTTGAAATATCACCAAAATGGTCTCATGTTAAGGTCAGTCAGGACAGTAAGTTCCAGAAATCTTACAAAAGCAGCCACTACTTGTGAAATTCTTATATTCTGTTGTGCTTGCTAGAGAAGCTCAGGTAATTCTAAGAAGCCCTTTACAAATCTGGGTGCCTCTTTGAACCAAATATAAAAATCAAGCCTTTTGCATTTGCTAACTCCCATCCAGGGAATCTGTGTTCTCTAGTCATTTAGGACTCTGGAAGATTTCTATGGCAAAGATCCACTGTTGTTTATCATTCAAAAAAATTTTTTAATCTTCTGAAAATCTTACACATTTTATTTTTTTATTTATTTTTTTTAAAGATTTTATTTATTTATTTGACAGAGAGAGAGAGAGAGACAGCGAGAGAGGGAACACAAGCAGGGGGAGTGGGAGAGGGAGAAGCAGGCTTCCTGCAGAGCATGTAGCCCGATGTGGGGCTCGATCCCAGGATCCTGGGATCATGACATGAGCCGAAGGCAGACGCTTAACGACTGAGCCACCCAGGCGCCCAAAATCTTACACATTTTAATCCTGAGTATTTCTGGAGAATGGATGCTGCCTTGCATAGGATAGAACCCTGATGTCAGTCTATAGATCATATTTATCTTACTATAGTCTATAAAGGAGTCCTAAAATTCTTACACAGGAGTTGGTTGAATAGTAGGTGTTAAGGATACATTGAGTGCTCTCAATATGCCTGGCTGTTTGAAATGAGTCAATATGACCATTGTACACACTTCTATTTGAGATATCTATTTCAAAAAAAAACCAGAGCCCAAGCATAGATGAATATACACACACTTATATTTTCTCTCTAGCCTTCCTTTCTTCTCCACTCTCTGCCCCAGGGACTTCCTGAGATTGAGCCTGTCCATTCAAGACTAAAAGCCAACACACAGGGATTATTCATCTGTCACATTAACATGCTAGCCAGATAATTTCCCACAAGAGTTTAGCCTGAGAAAACATTGGTTCGCGTCCTGACTGGGTCAGGCTCATGGGCACAATGCCATAGGTGGCTCCAGGCTGACCTAGGGAGGAGGCAGGGAGTCAGTGATGCTGGATGCCCAGAGGTGGCATCTGTCCTTCAAGCCGCTGACGTTCCTATAACATTTCTGCTTTCATGTACCCCAACTGCCTGACCTTTCTCCCACCAGTGAGTGGAGAAAGGGCAGGAGGGGGTAAGGAACCACTTCCTCCCTCTCCCCTAATTGCTCTTGTCAAGCAAGAGTTCAGGGCAACAGAGAGCATCGTGAGATCAAAAGAGGACACTGCTGGGTGGCCCCTTAGCAAGGTTCAGCTTCTTGACCTGCTGCGAGAGTATTCCTTAGGCACAGTGCCAAGTGCCTCTAAGAAACCAGGAGGTGGCCTGATCTCAAGGACCTGCGGGTTCTGGGTGATGGCTTTTGTTAATGCCTCACGTGGTTTTTCAGCAGACCTCCTTGGTTTGTCTCAGGCTGCCAGAATTCTTCTTTCCCTGCACACTGGGCAGTCTGCACCCCCCTTAGACAGACCCCCTGCCTCTTGGCCTCTTGGGGCCTGTGCATCTATGTCCTGAGGACAGCAATTCTCCCAGCTGCCGGCATAAGCCCTCAGACCACCCCCATCCCAAAGTTTCACTTTATTATTCTAGAAAGACAAAAGACATCGCATACAATTTACAAGTGTTCGGAATAGAATAATCTGACTAGTTTCTAATAAATGCGAAAAATCTCTCTTAGGGAAAGTCTTTATCACCTATTCTATGGACACAGCCATGGAGGTGGTGAAATTCGTGAACTTCTTGTTGGTAAATGGCTTCCAAACTGCAGTAAGTATTTTATCCGAGAGAAGGCTGAACGATTAAAGTGAGTACAATGAGAAGAAAAACAAAGGGAGAAAAAAATATAAATAACTGTTGAGGTTTCAAACTATATTATTTGAGTTATGGGATTATGAACTAAATGCTCATGGATGGAGGTAGTTATTTTCCAGGTTTTAAGCTATCCAGAGTCTCCAGCACTTATTTCTTGCATGCTTTTTGAGCAATTCTGAGTACCTACAAACAGCCAGACCGCAAATGCAGCGTGGGCTCTGGCCTGAAGCAAATCCTGGGCCCTTGCTGCACTTCGGACCTTTGCCCTTTTTCACCAAGCACGCCTGCTTTGGCTGCGATTCCTGTGGTGCAGGAGGCTGCAGGCTTCCCCAGGCCACCTGCTTATTGTACCAGGTCCTTCTGTGGGGCCCTGGGCGGTGAGGCCTGAAGTACAAGGCCCACTGTGCCCAGCTGCCTTCCACACCTTGATGGGGCCATGGCACTCCGGACAAGGACTCCACGGCCAGGTTCTCAGCTGGTCTAGTCTAGTTCCAGGGGAGGTAGACAACCCAGGCCTGTGGCGCACTGTGATCTTGGCTCAAGGAATCTCAGGAAGCACACACTCCCCAAGTTTCCCTGCAGTGCCTTCCAACAGCACAGCTTAGTCATGTACGCTCTTCTGTAGGATAAATAAAATACCACCGGAGGCCACTCCAAGGGCTGGCTTTCCTAAAACACTGAGATCACATCTTTTCCTTCCCAGAGGCCCCCTTGGGACATTTAGTGACAGTGAATTCTAGAGAGTGGTGAAAAATTAAGGAAAACAACCATGAATAGCAATGTTGAAGGATAAAAAAAAAGAGATAGTAATGAAATGTCTATTTTAATGATTGCTTGGCATTATTTAACAGTTTTTGTTGAATTTTTTCTTTATCCTATACTTTTTCTAATGGGAGTGTCCGCAAGTTTAAAATGTATACAATTTATACATTCCAACTTAGTGCAGTTCCAACTGCACAGGAACCAACATTTCAGTTTCTCATTTCTGAAATAAGAAAGCACTGTGGCAACCACGACATAAAATCAAATTGCAGGTCATAAGGCCAACATTTCAGAAAAGATCCTACTTTTGTCATTTCCAAATAAGCATACTGATTGCCCCTGGAAAAGAGGATAGGTTTTTATGACCTTACCAATCAGGGGCTACTTAGACATAATTTAAGTCTGTCCTTGATCCTGATCACTATGAAGCCTTGCAGTAGAATCACAGAGCCCCACCCTGGACAGCTAGGTTACTATATTGATACATTAAGAGCCCCTTAGTAGGGAAAATAAAACACTTAATGGGTAATCTAAGGGAAGTTTAATGAAAGGACAATTTTCAAAGCTCTAGGTAAATTTTAAGAAATCCACAGGGAAAAGAGCACTATCCTGGGACTAGCAAAAGCGGGAGTTGCTACCACCGCTAGGTCTGAAGAGACAAGGGAACAGTGGTTACAACCTGAAGACAGAGGCTGTATTGGTTTGCTAGGGCCGCTATAAAGACAATAGATATGTATTTCTTCATAGTTCTGGAGGCTGGACGTGTCCAAGATTAAGGTGTCATCAGGATTGGTTCATTCTGGGCCTCTTCCTCGGCTTGTAGACAGCTACCTTCTTCCTATGTCTTCACGGGGTCTTTGCTCCGTGCGTCTTAATCTCCTTTTCTAAGGACACCAGCCATGTTGGATCAGGGCCCACCCAGAGGACCCCATTTCACCTTAATTAAATCTTTAAAGGCTCTATCTCCAAATACAGTCACACTGAGACAGTGGGGGGTTAAGACTTCAAATAATGAACTTGGGGGGGGGGGACAAAATTTGGCCTGTAACAGTGGCTGTGTGGAGAAGTTGGCCTGACAGAAGCTATGGACTTTGGTGGAGATCTGGAAAGACAATCTAGCATATTCTGCCTCCCAGAAAGCCCACCTCAGTAGCAAGAAATAATTAAGGTGCTGGGTTAACAATTAAAATAACCATTTATTGAGTAATTAACTTCAAGCCCGGCATTATGATATTGCCATGTCCAATTGTTTTAATCCTCACAACCATCCTGGGAAGTAGGTTTGTTAACCACATATTACAAATAAAGATAATAAGACTTAGAGAGTTTCAGTGATGTTTTAAAAGTTATACAAGTGGGAAGTGCAGAAACTAAGAGTAGACCAAGAGGAGAGCCCAGCTGTCTGTTTCTTCTCAACCCCGACGTTATATTGCTTCTGTCTCATATAATAGAAGGGGATTACTGATCCAGTCACAGAATGCCACACAAGCTTTCTCAAGATTACCTCATGTGGTCACTGGCCATCTGACATTTTAAAGCAGGAATCATCCAAGCCAAAAGGAAAGCCATTCCATTTTTGATGTTCCATCAGTAAAGAAACATATTCTGAACTTGCCTGACGTACTGTATGTGTCTGACAGTTTGGTGTACTCGAGGCACTTTCTTGCTCCACAGGAAGAGTAGAGTCAGGATGAAAAGATAAGGCAGACATACACGAGACATTTAGCAAATGAAAGGATGTTACAATAATGTGTTAACTGTCCAGGACCACTGGTCACAATGGGGCAGAGGCGGGTGAGGTGAGCACGAGGAAGTCAGCGTGTAGGGAGGATTCACAGAGCAGGGAGGCTTGTGCTATGCTTTCAGGGTGCCCGGGAGTAAAGTAGACAGGACACGTGAAGAAAAGAGGTAGATGGCCTGGAGAGCTTGCCGAATGGCTAGGACTCGATCAGTCTTAAATGGCGGAGTGACATTTAGGACAACTGATCTGAGAGCAGTGTGGCTGAATCATATACCCCTCCTCAAGGACACTGTCCCCGAGTCAGCCATTCCAGTATAGCATCCATGTTCTAAGCAAGAGCACCTTGTACACATGCACATTACTCTCTGGCTGCCCGACAAGCCGGAGCCCCAGAAAGGCTGCCTTATTTGGTCTTCTGAAAAATAGAAAATAACTGGTTTTTCTCCCCTTCAAATATTCCTTTGAAGACTTGATATTTAATATCAGTCTTTTCAAGGCCCAAGAGTTCTGCTTCTTGACTTTCATCATAAACCTTTTCCCACCATCTCAGTAATTGTTTTTGCGACTGTTGCTTGGATTTGCTCCAAGTTTCATACAATCCTTTTTAAATGGATAGATCGAAACTGGACGTAATACCATAATAATGACCTGGCTAATGCAAGGAAAGTGCCAGAATTGTATCTCAGTACTTGCACCCACACATTCATTAAAATGTTCCAGGATGATATCATGTTAGCCTTTCAAATTACATATATATATATATATAGCTGGCTTATATCCAACTTGGTCTACTATGTCTCTGAGATTTTTAAAACATAATTATTGTATAGCCAAAGATACATTTTGATGTGTACCACTATATCCTAATAATGGATATTAAATACTTAAATGCCTACTAATGTTGAAATAGGGAACACTTTAAGAAAACTGTGTTTTGGTTTTTTTAGACTTACCTGTTCCTCCCTGCAAAATCATTCATAATTTTTCCAATCTTAAATGCATGTAGTCTCTTGTATTTTCTCTTGCTCTGCATCTAGAGAAAGCTCCTCATTAAGAGCCACCTCCCACATCTTTTTCTTGTAGATTGACATATTTGAGGATAGAATCCGAGGCATTGATATCATTAAGTGGATGGAACGCTACCTTAGAGATGTAAGTACATTCCCAAATTCTGAGCTCATTTTCTGGTGGAAAAAGACAATTCGCCTGTAGAGTTATTTTATGAAAGAAGCACTGGCAAAACCCACCAAGTCCAAAGCTGAGAAAGTCCCAACAAAGCCTCCCTTGTTGGCAGCCATGCAGAGACCTGCAAAGGAAGGATGGGGTCACCCTCGTGGACATGCACAGGCAGGAAATAACGGTCAAACCAGACACAGGTGGTTGATAACAATCGGAGCAAACAATTTTTTTGACCAGAATGGGAAAAGAGGAAATGAAGGCAGGGAGTAGGGTGGGAGCGACAGAATTCAATTTAATCCGAAGCCACCCCAAGTGTTTTGCAGGATCAGGTTCCAGAGCTTTCCCGGGAGGCTGCCCGTACCGCGCACCTCCCCGCCCCCCCACCCAGGCGCCCACTCGCAGCCCTGTGATTTGTTTTCCACTGACAGAATCTATACTGACCACTGGGACACTTTGTGCTTTAACAAGATAGAAATTGATTGCTGCCAGTGTGTCCGTGTCGGCTGCTTCAGCTGCTGCTTTTGGAGCGAGTGGTGGGGGACAGAGTCTCAGCAGGCTGGGGCTTTGTGGTTTCTTTTGTCTGCAGCCTGATGTCCGCTCTGTGCGGAGGGGGCCGTTCCTCGTGGCTGTGCGAAGGGCACGCGCGCAAGCAGGGCGGTCCGGAGCGCAGGAACAACAGCTTCCCTCCGGCGGCCGGAGGGAGGGGGCTTTTCCTCCGCGCCCTTGCACGGCCTCTTTGCCACCATGCGGAATCGCTTGGTGATTCGGCCTTCCGTCCGAGGTTTGTCAGTGATGGCTCTGCAAAATGGTGGGCAGCACCGCCTCCCTTAAGGAGCGCTCCTCGCAGAGCCCTTTGCTCTGCGTTTGAAGGGAGCCGGGAGGGAGACGGAGGGGAGAAGGGGAGGCAGGAGTCTGCCCGAGACGGGGGGACAAGGGCCTTTCACTCTCCACGGAGAACGAGGCCGGCCCTCCAGTCGGGAGTCTGGCAGAACGCTTACAGCCCTGCTGGCCGGTTTCCAGCCTGCCTTCACCAAATGGACCGCACTTTACACTTCCATAAACATGCTTTCTCTCTCATTAACAGAAGACAGTGATGATAATTGTAGCAATCAGCCCCAAATACAAACAGGACGTGGAAGGTGCTGAGTCGCATCTGGACGAGGATGAGCATGGCTTACATACTAAGTACATTCATCGAATGGTGAGTGGTGAGGGGAGCGCAGCACCTCGCCGCCCCTCACAGAGGGGCGCTTTCTTCGGTGAAGGCCTGTCCTCCGCTAGAGACCAATTGAAGGTGGCACAGTGAGGGGTGAAGAACCCCAGGCAGGAGTGGGCGATGTTGGTTCTGGCCCTGGCAACCTTCGGGACTGTGGGCAAGTGACCCCATCTCTGGGACTCAGTTCCTGTCAGTAGCAAGGGGAGATTCATCTGTGAACTCTAACTCCCAGGGCTCTGGAAAACAGTGCTCTGCTGGCTTGGTTGTTCACCAACAAACGGGCAGTCCCAAGAGGGGCCGGGGACAGGGCTGTGAGGAGAGCGGGCTCCTGCATCTGTGTCCTATTCTGTCCCCCGACCTAGATGCAGAGTATCGGAGTGGAAAGGACACATGCTATTGTGTCACATGGACTTGGTTCAAATTCTGCTTCCTCGTGTATAGTTGGGTGACCGTGGGCCAACTGCCTAAACCTCTCTGTGCCTCCGTGTCCCTCATCATACGATGGGTCACTGACACTTACAGTATTGTGAAGATTCAATGAAATAATGTCTGTGAAGGGTATGACACATCTTGATGCTCAGATCAAGGGGAGGGATTGTTCTGAGCTCATGATAGATGAGCAACGGTCCACCGCCACACCTGAACCATGGGGCCTGGCCAAACTAAAGCCAGTGGGAGAAATTTATAGGAAGATAGGCTTGCTTGGCATCTGATAGAACATTCTGACCAAAAACATCACCCAGCTTTGGAATTGGCTGTTTTGTGAGCTAGTGATCCCCCTGCTTTCCAGGATGACAGAGATGCTGTGGAGACAGTTCCGCTTCACTAGGACGCTGGAATAGACTTGCGACTTTCAAAATGTTCTGTGGAGTCCCTACTGGGTGCCCATCGGTGCTGGGGGTCAGAGCGGCTCTGAGCCTCCCACCCCACCTGAGCCAGAGCCGGTTTGCCTTTCTCAGGCTTACTTGTTTACCAAGGATTCTGAGATTTTAAAAAGGCTTGACATCCACTGGACTAGAACTTGTAAGCTCCATTCCAACTGGAACATTCCACAGGCACCTGGAATGGGCAGAAAGGATCACAGACTAAGACGGGAGTATGGGGCAGGACGCTGAAGTGGCCCAGACAGAATAAGTAAGCGGCACAAGGCAGGACCCAGGCAGGCCTGAGACGGGCAGCTTTACCTCAGGGGAAGCTGACTGAAGTCCGGGTCTGTCCTGTGGATCAGGAGCACAGGAAAAAGGCAGAGTGGGTGGTTGGGTGAGGCTTCCCCATCTGTCTCCTCTTCTAGCAAGTGCCTACCACTTATTTGAGATTAGAACCAACCCAGAGTAAAGGCCAAGGCAGGGTGGTAAGGTCAGAGAGTAAGGCCAAGGAATCAGGAGATAAGCGTCCGCCATTCCATCCTCTCCCAGTCTGACAGCCCATGGGCAGGGCCCTGCAAAGGGTCACGGCTGGCTGCTGCAGGTCTACATGGCCCCAGAGCACTCCATGTCCTGTCTGCATCTCTAGGAGCCTGCTGGTCCTGGGAGCTGACAGCTGGTGTGTGGGATGGGCTTCTGGTCCCTGCCAGTTCCTAAGGGGACCTGACAAGCTCTGCTGGTGTGCGGCAATGCCAGGCAGTAAAACACAGCCCAACCCCGGAGCCTGTCTGATGGTGCCCCGCCAGGAGCCAGATTGCCTCCAAACTCAGTTTTCTGGGGACAACGATGTCTTGGGCCCTTCCTTATCACTGGAGGGGTTGGGAGGGAGGCCAGATAAGAAGACCTCCAGGTCCCCTCCGGGCAGCAGAAGCCTCTAGGACAGAGGGAATGAAGAGGTAGCCATGAGTAACGGCATCATAGGGCCAGTGACCTCACAAAAAGCCCGGATCTGGAAATAAGAGAGAAAGCATACACTGCGGCTGTTTGACTGCCAGCCGACTGGGCGGCCTAGTGGACAAGCAAAACTTTACAGATTCAGTGTCCTGGATGGAAGTCAGAGACTAAATCCAGTTCTTCCCTTGTAACTTATAAACCTGTGCCCTTCCTTTCACGTGTTTGTCCTGGTGATTGGTGTTTACATGTTGCACAGTACACAGATCATTTTAAACTAAGACAGTGGTTCTGAGAACAAAAAACCTTGTGGAGCATTCGTGTGTGCGAGTGTGTGTGTGTGTGTGTGTGTGTGTGTGTTTATGAGGGGGTTTCTATGGTGACTTCAATAACCAGCTGTCACCACTGTCACTTTCTTCTCTGTCCTGTTTTTATTCCCCTGCACAATGAAGACTTCTCAGTGATAAAAAATCAATCGGAAGATGAAATACTTGGGAACACATAATTCCTCATCTCCTTGTCATCAGATGACTGAGAGCTTTGTGCTGGTCACAGCACTGGGAAGACTCCAGCTCCCCTCACCTTGAAAATCCTGGGTTTGATAGAGTTCTTGGCAGCTAAGTCTTTGGGGGCCACCGCGGTGTCAGAACAAACTGGAACCGTGTGGGGAACCTACAGTGTGGCGGGCAGAGCTCCTCACAGTTGGCCCCCAGTCTCATCTCCCACTCCCTCCCCACTCCGTCCTGTGCTCCAGCCACAAAGCATTGCTAGCGGGGCCCAACCCCACCAATGTTCTTTCACACCTCCAGACATTTGCTCATGCTGTTTCCTCTACTGAGAATGTCCTTCCCCTCATCCCCTACTTCCTCTGCCTGACCAACTTCTTGTCTTTCAGTATCTAAGTGACACCTCCCTTGTAACTGCCCTTCAAATCACTGCTGCAGAATGGATGGCCCCCATTTTGGGCTTCCACAGCAATTTTATACTTTTCACAGTGCCCTGTGGTTGGCAGTTTACCCTTCTTCCTGCTCACCAATCTGCTGGCTTTGGAAGACTAGGAATCATGTCAGCAGTGTTCTGGTAACCTGGTTCTCAAAAAAAAAAAAAAAAACCTGATTTGTAGCATTTCCCCATTTCCATGGTGTAAGTACTCTTATCATGGCCAATTTCAAGCTACCAGTGTAAAATCACTGAACACAGAATTAGGAAGGGAGGCATACAACTGGCTTTCGTGAGCCGATACAAGCCAGCTCAGCACACCCTGGAAGGTATCCTAATCCCTGAAACCCGAAGTCTAGCACAGAGTGGGACTTTTAATAGGCCTTCAATAAATGATTAATGAGTGAGTGAATGGCATGCATGTGTAATGGGGAGACCTTAAAAGTCTCGGTGTGTGGCACTCAAGGAAATCAGAATAAAAATGCTGTCAGGACTTGCATGGTTCTGGGTGCCATTAACTCCTCCTCCTCATTCCTGAAATCAAACCTTCAAATTCTTTCTGTTCCAGATGCAGATTGAGTTCATAAAACAAGGAAGCATGAATTTCAGATTCATTCCTGTGCTCTTCCCGAATGCTAAGAAGGTAAACAAAGAAATAAGCAAGCAAAAAACCTTACAATTCAAGCTTTGGTGTGCTTGCTGTCTGGGATTTTAAGTGGAAAAGCTTGTGAACTCTTTATCAGTCCTCAGAGATTAACAGTGTTACCAGAAGGATCCACAGGTTGTAGCACTCAGCTCAGCAGCATGAATCAGGAATAAGGAATCAGGAAGGTTTTAAGGTGTTATCTGATGGACCATCGCTGTCCTAATTGTTCAAACAGCCATTACACACAAAGAAGTAGTTTGCGTTTTAACTCATGAGAGAAAAAAAGACTGTTCATCTGATACTTCTTATCTCTCATACATAAAAGTCAAGATATGTACATTTTTTTGCTGACTGTCCACAGACGTATTTCGGTGCACAGAGTTCAGCTCTCAGATCTGTAGATGACAGGAATTAAATCTACACAGTGACCAAAGTGAGCTTTGCTGTGGTTCATAGGAGGGTTTTTACACCAAAAGAACATGCCAGCAGGTTTGGGCCATGGGGACAAAAACCATCTGAAGCCATGTTCCGGGCTCAGCAAGGAGAAGGCAGAGGTGTAATGAATGTCTTGAGACTCAGAACACAGCACCCTGTGCTCAGGCCCAGCTGCGCCCGGGAGGAGCCCTAAATGTCAGGACTGCGCCGAGACTTGTGTGGGGCGGGAGGCAGAGACCAGCTGAGCGGACCCAGGGTTCCGAGGCTCAGCCCCCGTGCGATAGCGCATTTCCGCCCCTTGCCCCAGGCTCTCATTGCTCCCACTGCGGGATCTCCTTACTGGCCTTCCCGTCTACTTTGACCCTGTACTAACCACCCTCTACTCTGCCATCAAAGAGGAACATCCGAACTGTAGATCTGATCTCTCTCCAGCTTGGAAACTGTGGTGGATTCCGCCTGACTCCAGGATCGCATCCGCCTTTCTTCGCGTGGCAGATGAGGCCCCTTAGAAGAGGGCTGAGCCCACTTGCTCAGGCTTCTCTCCCCGCCCCCGTGTGCACAGCGACTGTGCTCCGGCCGGACCGGACTGTCTCGGCATGCCCCCACACCTGCCGTGGTCTTTCATGTTTCCGTGCCTCCCACGCTGCCCCCGCGTGCAGTGCCCTCCCCTCACTTGTCTGGTAGTCAACTCTTGCTTACCTTCCGGCACCCAACCTCTCTAGATTCCGCTGCCCTCATTCCCTTGCGGATATACTCAATTGTGCCTCTTTTGAGCACTCTTAGCTCTAGCGCCTTGAGTCAATGGGATGTGGTTGGGAGGGGAGGGGCTGGGGGAATATAGTGCTGGAAAAGGAGACCGACTTTTAGTTGGTTTTATCGTTTTTTTAAAACTTCTTCAGACAACCCCCTTGCTGCCTGTGCTCAGGGCAGACTTCTCCCACCTCCTGCCCCTTTGCTACACCATTGCCTAGAAAATAGTTTCTTTACATTTTCATTTACATTCCATCATTACTCCGGGAACTCCTCAAGGCGGTAACTGTGTCTGTTGGATCTGGGTGTCATCCACACCCAGCATGATGCCTGACATGTAGCAGGTGCTGCTTCTAAGCTTATTCTGCAGTCTCCAAAGGGATCCCATCCACTCAGAGAAAGACCTACAAGGCCCTATCTGACTCAGGCCCCTCTACTTCTAGACCTCCTCTCCTACTCTAACTCACTCTTCTCTGGCCACACTGGCCTGTTGCTGCTTGAACAGGCCAGGCACGCCCCCACCACAGGGCCTTTGCACTGGCTGGACCCAGACATCCACAAAGCCGGGCCCCCTCCGCTCTTTTAGGTCTTTGCTCATTTTCTCAGTGAGACCTTTCCTAAACACTCCACTGAAAGCTGCAAACCTTTCAGCCCTGCCCAGTACTCCCTCTCCCCTTTCTCTGTCTTATTTTTCTCCACAGTATGTATCACCATCAAACACACTATGTATTTTACTTATTCGTGTCTGTCTCCCCAACCGAATGTCCACTCCGTGAGGGCAGTCTGAATCAGCACCCTCACGATCCCTGGCTTGGTTTCTGCTTTTTGCCTGATCACAGACCTGGTGGGCTCCTTCTCCTGCAGGCCAGATCTGTGTGGCTAGAATGAAAGGATAATGAATTAGATTAAGCCCACAGCCTTGGCATACTTCTTCTGAAGCCACAAAGGAATTCCCATCACTCTGCATGACCTCTGTCCTACCCCTTTTATGTGAAGGTGGTGAAAAGCACGTTGAAATGCAAAGGGCAGGTAGCCTGGGAGGCTGACGGAAAATGCCTTGCACATGTGGTTTCCATAATGAGATCTACAGCTTACACCCGAAGCCAGGAGCATTGCACATGCTAACCCCTTCCAAAAGCCAAACAGCACAACTCCCAGGAGACTTCAGCAGGGCACGCCCACGAAGGGAAGCCATAGATGTTTGGGAACTGAGCATGGGCTCTGGAATCCAGGTTTCTCTCTAAAGGCCTTCACTCCTGTCCTTCCCTCTCCCATAGGAGCACGTGCCCACCTGGCTTCAGAACACTCACGTCTACAGCTGGCCCAAGAATAAGAAAAACATCCTGCTGCGGCTGCTCAGGGAAGAAGAGTACATAGCCCCTCCCCGGGGACCCCTGCCCACGCTTCAGGTGGTGCCCCTGTGACACCCTCGGTCCCCAGAGCCCTGGGCTCATGCCGTGTGTGTGTGTGTGTGTGTGTGTGTGTGTGTGTGTTTGGGGGGCGGATCCTGTTCCCACAAGACTCTTCCAGCAGAGGCTCTCCCACCCCAGAAGGCCTGTCCTGCAGACGACTTCTCCTGCGGAGACCTCCACAGACCCTACCTTTCCAAAAGAGGCTGTGGCTGTTCTGTATTCCCTCCTTCTGATGCCCCCAGCACGTTGCTCCTCACAGTCTGAAGCCTCTCCCTGCTTAGCCAGTAGATAGAGAAATGATGTCACAGTGAACGACCACAAACCCCCTCCCGTTGCTTAAAGCTACTTTTATGAGTTAGCCAGATGCTCGCGTGTCCTCGGACCAACCTGATTCGTGTACAAATAATAAATGTTTACTCTTTTGTAAGATTGTATTTTGCTTTATCTCAAAGGAGATAAATGTGTGATAATTCCTAGTGACATGGGCAGTTGCTTCAGGAAAGCTGCTTAGATGCAATATTAGATGAATGTAACCGACCGGTCTGTGTGAGAGGATTAGAGCCAGATAGTTAAACAATCCCTTTTAACCTAATCTTCAAAGCTTTATTCTTGGAGTAGAACTTTTTAACAAAACCACTCCTGTACACCACACAGCCATGATTCTAAGTAGACTCTAAATCGAGCCTGGCTGTGCACGTAAGAATATCCGTGGATGGGAAGCACAACAGCTACGGTAGAAGGTGGGCCGGAGCGGTGGTTTGTGCTCTAGTCTTGCTCCTACCACTAACTAGCTGTGTGACCTTATGCAGGTCCTTTCACTCACCTGAAACCCCAAGGACTCGCTTCTAAAATGACGTGGACGGAGGTATCTTGAGGGCCCTAAGTGTTTTAAGGTCTGGGACCTAAGTTCTAAATACTTTTTTGAAGAATGACTGAGTTTTCGTAATTATATCGCCTGGAGGATAAAATTACATTTTCCCAACAGGGACATTTTTCACTTTTTTTTAAATCTCATCAGCAATACCCTCACATTAGTAATTTTAGAAACATATATATCTTGCTCATCTGATCTCAAGAAAACACAAACATATCCGTATTTGAGATATATATATAATCTACATAAGCTCTAAAGCAAGGTGGGGTGACGTTAGCTATGGCCTAAGTAGTAAGAAATATGAAGATTTTGAGGTGGGGGGTGGGAGGAGAGAGCTACTGTTTCCTGTTACCTGTGTACCTCATCTCCAAAACAAGGCTCAATGGTGCTATGAGATAGTTCACCCCTTGTATGTCACCGTAGGGAAAAGACAAATACCAACTATAAATAAGGTTTGCTAATGAATTGCAAAGGACACAATTTCATTTATTTGTTACCTGATGTCTACTGGGTGGTAAGGTGAATGTCTTTGTTTAAAAACAAAAAACAAAAAGGAAAAGGGAAAAAAAGCTAGTATACCTGAAGTAATCATTACCTGAAGTAAGACTATCACCAGCATCTTTGGTGCTGTAGCATCTGAGACCTGGTGGGACTATCTTGTTTGATTAATTTAAAATGCCTAAGAAACCTCCCAAACGCAAACTTCAAGTCTTCTCTCTCTCTTTTTATTATCTTTTTTTTTTTGAAGATTTTATTTATTTATTTGTCACAGGGAGACACAGCGAGAGAGGGAACACAAGCAGGGGGAGTGGGAGAGGGAGAAGCAGGCTTCCCGCAGAGCAGGGAGCCCAACGACGTGGGGCTCGATCCCAGGACCCCGGGATCATGACCTGAGCTGAAGGCAGATGCTTAACTGACTGAGCCACCCAGGTGCCCCTCTTTTTATTATCTTTTTTGGAGGTGACACCATCATTAAGGATTCACACAATTGTAAATAAAATGACGTCAGCAATCATCTCTCTGAAATGTTTCTAGTTTGCAAGGGTTTAATAATGTGCTGTTACCCCTCCTCCCTTCAGAGGCCTGGCCTGAGCTCTCAGGTGAGTGACGAGGGAAGGTCCCTGGTGTTCCACAAATAGTCATTACACTGTTACAGCTGGTAGCACTGGTAGCCAAAAAGACAAACAAAACAAAAAGTACACACACACACACACACACACAGCACCTGACCAGGTGATGAAAGTTTGACCCCTGAAGTTTCTATGAAATCTGCTGACCACTGACATCAAAGGAATTTTAACAACTATTTGAGAGCGCTGACACGAAGATTAACACTTGGTTTATTTAGATGTCATCCCTATCCTCGTGCATTCATCTGCAGATATTTCGGGGGTGGATGTGGGGTAGGGCTGACTCGGTAAAAAATAACCTCTTGGCCACAAGGCTTTATTCAGACCGAAACTGATTTTAGGGGTGAGGTGTACAGAATGCAAGGTTAGATGCTTGTCTAATATTTAGTGACCAACTTAAAATTTGAAATGTAATTTTTAATTTCAGGGACTGAATGTACATATGCCTAGTTAGTTTAACTTAACCTCTATATCATCCAGAGACATCTCAGTGCATGGCTACAATCTAAGTATTAGACTAGCTATTTCTCAGTTCAGTGCTCAGAAAAATGATTGTTGTTGATACTCTTTTCTTTTTTCCTATTAAATAAATCACCTATTTAAAGATTGTTTCTCAGTCGTCTCAGCAAGGGAGGGAAGCCCTCTGCTTTGAGCATTCCAGACCTTGCTTCATGATGTTTTGCCAAGAGCATTTTTCTTAACCTCAGCCACTTCATTAACCACCTCCTCCACCACTTTGCCAAACACCCCATTGTCACCATCACCTTTGCCAAAGGGATTGCAAAGTCCTGTGATCACTGGGAAATGATCCAGAAAGAGTTTCTCAAAACACAGGATCTTTCTGTTTCTTCCTAATGAACCAAGAAGAATCAGTGAGCCCCACCTCCTCATGGCGAGTGAAAAGACAAGGAAGGTTAGACTGTGGGAAAATACCACCAAGAAGAATTGCCTCTCATCCTGAAGAATTATGCGCTACTTTTCAAAATGAATAGCTCTATCTGAGCCCACCAACCAAATAAACAAAAACAAAAACCAGAAAGGAAGAAAGAAACACCAAAATAAATTTAATTCTTAAATCACTTATTTCTGGAAACATTTGGAATTTTCAATCTGAAAGGCCCCTAGAAATCACGCACGTCTGCAGTGTACTTTTAGGCATGCAAAGAGAGGGGGCCCCCCGAAACCATGGCTTCTTTAAGTTCCCCCTAGGACTAGAACCCAGATATCCTCGTGTCTAGTCTGCAGACATTTATCTGGCAAACCTAGAAAGCTTTCTGGCTCTCGACGGTAGATTTGTTCAACAAATGACCCAGTATCTCCCAGAGGTAAACTGAGCCTCATGAACGTAGGAGGCCTGAGGGAAGATGCACCTCTGTCCTCGGGTGGCTGGAGGATTAAATGATCATGTTGCAACTTGTTCTGGGGGAGAGTCTTTGGGGAATTAATTATTGCTGTGATTAGATGGAGTGTGACTTCTCTTGAAGTAGTTTTGGCATATTTATTTATTTCATACGAGTATTATATAAAACCAAAGCACAATTTAAAAGACCTTGGCAACTTCCTGAAGCTTACAGATAAAATCTGCTGTTAGATCAATTTTGTTTTAGTTTTATCTGGCCAATCTCCACAGCAAGAACAATGAAAAATGCTTTTATTTTTAAATCCTGTAATAGTCATCTTCCTCCACAGTGCTTCTCATCTGATAAGAGTAGCACTTGTTGGAATAATGCATAGCTGTTTGGAAAATCTGCATTACCTTTCAGATGAAGAAATGAGAAAGGTATAGGTCCTGATCATTCTCCTTTGAGTTGGGGCCGGGGTGGGGTGCGGGGAGGCTGCAGAAGCCTCCCTTTTGTCGGGAGGCACATGGACAACACCAAAGAGCCCAGCCCAATCAATAGAGCTGGCATCTGGGGAGGCCCTGTGCCCAGCAGGATAGCATGTTCTGAACTCCATACTGATTTGTTCCATTTTCTATTGGAAAAAGCTTTCAGATAGAATCCCAGGATACTTGGTGGGACCTGGGAAGCTTTCATGGACCCTGGGCACTCATGTGCTGCCAACTCACCCACATGCACTTCAGCCCCTCCATCTGTGACTGTGCATTTGCTCCCGAGTCCTTCACCTCTAGCCAAACGGGTGGGACCTGGGAGAGGGACACTCAGTGTAGTCGAGTTCCCTGTGTCACTTCTTAAGGAGCATATGAGTGTGGGTCCAGGTCACCCTCACCAGGGTCTTTAGGAAGTGATATTTGAGCCTCTGCTAAAACAAGGAGAGAGTCTTAGACCAAAGTGTTCCTGGGCCAAGGTGACCATGTGCCGGGGCTGCCTGCTCTTTTCTAGAAACGCTCGTATGGAAGGAATAATTGCAGCCCCCGATCCCCCAGCACTTGTAACTAAAACCACGAGGGCACACATGTCTTGTCCCTTGCCTGACCTCCCTTTGCTCCCTTCACCAGGAAGGCACTGATGGTAGGCGGCAGCTGGGGAAAGAGGGGAGGGGGAGAAGGCGCGAGAGAGAACTCAGGCCTGATGGAGCCCATTAGGCTTCGTGTACAAAGCAAGTTGAGATGAAGTAGCTGCTCTGGTATGCGTCCAAACTGCTGTTCTATTTTTAGCCTCTCCTGCGTGCTTTTTGCCCCGCACAGAGCGCCTGGGCACCTGGATCGGCAGCAGAACATGGAACCAAGCCACTCATTTGTAAAAGTGGAAGCAAGGAGGCCACTGATGCAGGGCTTGTTTATCACTGACGGGGAAGGGGACCTGGAATGTTAATGAGGACGGCTCTCTGAAGCATGCCTTCATGGTTAGCTAGGAGTTCAAAGGAGAAGGGAGCCTCAGTCCCGCGCCGCACAAATGTAAACCATGGATAGAGGGAAGGAGAAATCAATTATGCTGTCGCAGGCTTCCATGTCATTGTGTTGGAGTTGTTAGAAAAGGTAGGACAAGGACCGGATCTCAAAAGGAAACAAAGCCACATGGCCTTGAAGTATAACGAGTTTGCCATGGCAACGGATGGAAATGAGCCTCCCGGGCACCGAGC